ATGACAACCTTAATATATCAAACCAGTTGAAAATTCAAAAAGTTAATGAGTCAAAAAATAAAAATTACCACTTTGGCTGGTGAAAATATTAACATGTGAAAATATTCTTTGACCGAAGTAAGTAACGCTCACTTGGCAATTTTTTTTCTTGGCATTGTTTTCTATTTAGCATTATAAAGTAGATCGTAATTCGGTTTAACGTCTGTTTGAGAGATATTTCAAGTTTGCTAAACTTTTATTTGATATTTGATTTTAACGATATTTTTTCAAATTTACTTCAATTAGTTGCACCTCCATCTTTATAACTTCAATTGACATTGATCAAAATCATGAAATGATTCATAGAATATCTTTACAGATATATTAATAATTATTAAGCGAGTGTTTCATTGCTTTAACGATTGTTCAGTTTTCTGATTAATGGATGACTTGATTGAAACGAACGCAACATTAACAATAGTTTGTTCTATGATTCATATGTGAAGTAACATTTTCAGCATTATACACTAGGAATTGTTTTCCCATCAATATGCAAAGCATTCATTCATCAATCCAAGCAACAGGAAAGATTTCCTTTCTTTGATGAACTCCATTCAAGCACTCTTATCTTAATATGCACACTAACCAATTCATCATCTATAAGGCAGTTATTATAACAAACTTCTCACCGAACATAAATTGCACATCAGTCAATTTGTCCGTCGGTAGCGTATGTAGTACAAATGCTTGCCAGAATGAATTATAATATCACTAACAATGAACAAAGTTAAACAATGATAAACATAATCACAAGAATGTCTGACAATATTTGAACAGAAACAATATAGACATTGATAAAAAAAAAGTAACACCAGATTATAAATTAAGATAAAAAAGATATTCAAAAGTACAAAGGTATTTTAAAAAAGTTTCAAGTGGAATGAAAATAAAAATTACACAAAATAATTTTTTCGTTGAGAATGATCGTAATACTGAAGATATTCATCATTTATTTCGCATCTACCCATCTTTAAATTAATAGCCGAAAGAAAATTCATTATTATAAACACATTATTCTACTTTTTGAATTTCTTTCATTTGCTGTTTTTTAGGCAATCTATAATAAAAACAATTCATAAAAATAAAATTAGTCCTGCCAAGCAAGCACTTTGAAATAATTCATTTACGTCTGAATACAAAAGTTTAATCATTTAAATTTTTCTACACTTTTAAAGGGCATTTTTAATTTAATTAATTATTTTCGAGTAAACTAACTTGAAAAATTTTAAATATTTAAAATGATAAATTTTATTTCTACATTTAATTTACGCTAAAAGAAAAAAACTTCACAAAAACTTACTCAGAAAATGAAAACTTTTACTATGGTTATGTGAACAATGTAAAAATTATTTTCAAACATTTTTTTTGCTAAATTCTCACAAATGTTTTTCATTTTACTTTCCATACCGCCGGGACATCGATACAAGTGAAATATTTTACTTATTCCAACCACTTGCTTAGAAAAGTAATTCACAAGCAGCGTTATCCGTACCATATCTCAATTTGCCATAGAAATGTGTTGTTTTTTAAATGTAGCACTCATGTTCTACTCTAATATTCAAAAGTTTTCCATTAAGAAATAACCAGAGTTCAACAAATCCATAGTAAATTAACGGGAAGAGGAAGATAAAAGTTGCAGGCATTTTAAAATTTTAAGTAAGGTATTAATTATTTTGGAGAAAATGAAGAAAAATAAATAGAAAAAAAAAAACTATTAACTATAAACGAGTTTCATTTATTTGCGTTGAAAGAGTTTTGCTAAAAGTTTATTTCTTAGCTAGTACATATAATTGTCACTCGGCGCCTCAGGGCGAATCAATGATCTCAGTCTATAATTGAAATATGTTGCAGCATGTGAGTATGTGGTGACGTAACTTCCAGTACCACCGGAAAAATATTAAAAAAAGTTTTGCTAAAAAGTTCGTTGTACGTTGAATAGTTTCAAGTGTTCTTTTGCTATCTTATTACGACTGACACCAAATATTGTTTAAATAACTGCTGAAAAGAATTTCAGCCAGTTATTCTTACTTGTCCGGTTCATTGTTCGTTGGGATTAGCTCATTCAAATTCGCTCTTCTTAATTAATGTTCCTTGCAATGATGGGAATAGCTGATCAGCATAATTCAAAGAAGAAGACACAAACTTAACGACTGGGTTATTGTCCTTCTTTAAACAGAGTAGTAACACTTGCAACTACGATGACTACGACGCAGGTAAATAATTTTTGCTTGAAATTTCCTTCCATCACTGCCAATGTTTTTCTCAACCGCAACGCCAATTTGCCACAAACACATTTTGAAAAATGGTAAAGATAATAGAAAAATTTTCTTGCAACAAATATAAAAATGCTAATTTGTCAGCACCACGTTGAAACAGCGTCATTAAAACAGACAAAATGATATTCTTTTATGGCAATATTGCTTGTTGATTGAAGTTTCAAAATTAAAAACATTAATATTGAAAACAAGTAATATTAAAATAATCAAAGACAACAACAATCATGAATTGAGAATCTACAAACAGGTTATGAATGGTAATTAAGCAAATAACGTTTGATGGCTGCATTCGATTCGATTTTGAAGTAAGAAGAAATATGATGCTTGCATGGCGGGAATGTTTACGATTAGCGTCGTGAGGATGGTGCACTGCACATATCAAACGCTCTACATCAACGACACCAACTGCAATGGTGGCTCGTAACTCAGCAAACACGGGCGTGCAATAATTTCAATCAAATGTTGCAATCATTTCTGTCTCTGCCTGCGTCTGCTGCTTTAATAAATAACTCCACACTTCTGAAAGATGAACAGATGTGAGCTGAACGCAAGCGATGTTTGTTTTTCTGGCTATCGACCTGAGGGGGTTCAGCGTGCAGAGTATGATTATCAACAGCAATCGCTCTGAATGTATTTGCTGCTATCGTCAATGAAATTATCTTTTGCCATGAACGTGACAAAAATTGTCTAGTCGCGTGTGTACATCAAAACATCAAAAAGGCCGTGGCCAAATAAAATCCAAAACTAATAAACTGAGGAGAGTATTAATTTCAATAACTGACACGTGGCGTGTTCACAGTTTATTGTTCAGATAATTTGTGTTAACAAACAAACAATAAATAGTAAAAAAACAGATAATTCAAAAACCAATAAAGGCAAAAAATCGAACCCAACCAAAAATGGTGCCAAACAAAAATGAATGAATGAGCGAGCGAGCGAGTAATTGAATGAAGTAATTAACGAACCAGACTGCATGTCAGAACTGTGTGGATCGATGAACGGACGGACGGATGGATGGAGGGATGGATGGATGGATGGATGGATGGATGGATGGATGGATGGATGGATGGATGGATGGATGGATGGATGGATGGATGGATGGATGGACGAATGAATGCATAGACGGATATATAGATGAACTTATGAATCAATAGATAGACGGATAGATGGGTGGCTAGCCAAATAGATAATTGAATGGACAGATGAATGGATATATAGATTTACTGAGAAATAGAATGTAAAAAATATGCACATGTGAATGGATGAATACAAGTTTGATCTATGGATAGAGACAGATGGATAAACAAATGGATGGGTGGAAAAATAACAAAAAGAACTAAGGAATGACGGATGGAGACAGTGGATGACTCGAGTCATTGTCAGTGGTTGGAGGATGTTTACTTTTGTGTGTTTTATTGGATTGCTTGTGTTTCGCAAGGTTTTGCTTGTGATCTCAAATGTTTGCATGTGTTTTTATATGTTTTCATGTGTATTCATATGTTTGCACGTGTTTGCCTGCTGTGTTTGCATGGGTGGAAACTTATCTCTTACCTCTTTTTGATTCAGCAATGTGTTCATGTCTATTGTTTATCAAATTGGTTGGATCATATTATTTCTGATTTGTGCAGAAATGTAGAAAGTGCGATGGAAAAATAAGTTTTATTTAGTTTTGCACGAACTCAAATTATAATGTTAAAAAAATTTTAATAAAATTTCAAATTGAATATTGCCAAGGTTTTATATTAAAATTTTGCAACAAATTATTGAAGGCTTTAGAATCAGAAAAAATTTCTAAGTTCTTACACGATTAAATATACATTATGCCATATTATATTGTCATATTCCATTGTTCGAAAATAGTTTGAAACTGAAGAATTAGTTTTAAAAGTAAATGTAACAGATCCATCATTCGTTGGAAAAAAAAGTTTAGCAAGGAAAAATTAAATAATAATAATAATATTAATAAAGGTTTTACGAGAAATGATACAACTTATCCAAGAAAGTATACAATATCTCCAAAATATTTTACAACATTTACAATTGAACATGTTTTATTTACCTTATTAGAACTACAGAAATAAAACTAACTAACTCTGAGTTCAGTGGTAAAATGTTGCTTGCGTGTGCAGTGTCTGAGGAGTTCAGTGTGATTGAAGCAAATAAAATGATGACATTATGTTCTGTATACTCTTCGGTAAAAATATAAAAAAAAGTTTTGTCGTCGACGAAGCAACTACACCAACTTCAAATGGGGACATTGTGTGGAAGCTCTCCGAGTTTGCTGCCTAAAAAAATTATGAGTCATCAATCTTCATTAAGTTGATACTTCTAACAAGCAATTGTTTTTTTTTCAAAGTCGTCTTGGATTTCAATTGGTACACCAGCACTTACGCACACATTGTTCAAAATTTAAAATCTTTTCACTGTTTAATATTTTTTATATTTTTTAATATTTTTCTGAAAATCAAAATTCATACAACAAAATCAGTTTTTTCAAAAAATTGATCGTAGGAAATTTAAAAAAAAATTAACAATAAAATCAAAAGATAACTCAAATACTAACAAACATACATCTGAACTACGTTTCAGCTACCATCATCGGCCAATAACTAATGGACCACGCGTCACTAACAAGCCACACCACAAAAATTGAACCACACCAACCAACCAGCACCAACAACTAACCTGATACCTGTCGATACTCATTGCGGTCATGAGGAAGGTGGTTGAGGCTAGCGTAACGATTTGAACGTAGAGCGTCAACTTGCAGCCGATGTTTCCGTATATCCACTTTTCAAATATCTCGGCCCCAATCTCGCTGGTCATTGTGAAGAGGCAGACCATGAGGTCGGCTGCTGCGATGTTCAGTAGAAATATGCTGACTCTCTTGCGTCTCAGACTGGCGTAACATGTGATGGTCGTTACCAGGGAAATGTTCCCAAGCAGGGTGATGAAGATGATGATGGCCAGTGCAATCACTTTTGTTGTTATGTGGATTGTTAGTTGTTCGGCTGCTTCCGTTGTTGTTGTTGTCATTGATGCTATGGTTGTCGTTGTCTTTGTCAAGGTGTTGTTGGTGGTGACGATGTAGTAGTGTGAGTTGTTGTTGTTGAAGTGTGATAAGAAGGCTGCTTTGATATCGTTCATTGTGCTTCAGTTAAAGGTATGTTGCAATTTTCATATTCACTTCAATCGAAGTTCAAATTCTAAAAGGTTATTTCATTGAAATTGTTCACTGGAACATAATTTGAACGTTGACTAATTTTTGCAGTTTATTTTGTCAATATAGGATGATGATGAAACTGATGAAAATGCAAGAAAACACGAAAGTTGTCGGTAAAAACAATTCAAAAGCATCAACCACCATCACAGCATGTGAATGTTTGGATTTCCAACTTCTCTTCATCCTAGGTTTTTGTTAAAAAGTTTCTTTTAAAAAGAAATTCAAACCAAGTATTTTGAAAAATTTGACATATAATGCCTGGTTGAAAAGAATTTAAGACAGCGTCATTTAACAACCAATTAATTTCTTCCGCTGCAGTGCACACTGGCTCAAGTGGCAATAGTGGTAATGTTGCAAAGTAATGATGCAAAATTTATGACTGCAAAGTGGTCTTAGAAGTACTAGTTTTAGTGTTAAAATTATTCATTACTTTAGTAGTAGTAGTAATAATAGTGTGATAGTTGTAAAAAAAAGTATTAGTAGCAAGCAAATGTGATATTGTAGTAGTAGTAATAATAGAAGTATTATTATTATTATTATTAGCAGTAGTAGTAGCAGCAGCAGTAGCAGCAGCAGCAGCAGCAGCAGTAGTAGTAGTAGTAGTAGTAGTAGTAGTAGTAGTAAAAGAAAAAATGATAGCAGTATGAAAATGCTGAAAATGAACAATCTATACACTTTAGTTTTTTTTGTTACTGTTTAATGGTAACTGTTAAAATAATACTTTGCAACCGTAATAACAACATAATAAATAATCTATCAAAAAATTATCAACAACAACAACAACAGCAGCAACAACAGCAACAGCAACAACAGCAACAACAACAACAGCAACAACAGCAGCAACAACACCAACAGCAACAACAACAGCAACAAACAAAAATATAAACAAACAAAACCAGTAGCAAACAATATAGAGGAGAGAATTATAAAATAAAACCAGCATACGGGTTGATGTGCATGCATAGTTAATTATCTTAAAAGCAATAATCAACTGCCATCTAAGTTGTTGTTTGTTTTTATGTCAAAAAAGAGAATGGAGATTGTTCATTCGATACAAGCTGTTGTTATTGATGTTTTCTTTGTTGCTGTTATTGCTATTGATGTTTGGTTGTTGTAGTTGTTGTTGTTGCTGCTGCTGCTGATGTTGCTGTTGTTGCTGATGTTAATGTTACATTATTAGCAGTATGTAAGCTGTTAGTTTTAGTAAATACTATCGATCCTAATTGATTTGTTGTTTGTTTGTTGATTTCACGTGCTGCAAGTTTCTTTCATTGTTTTCCGCAGATTTTATTGTTTGTTTATTGATTGCGTGCTTGTTCGTTTGTTTTTCGTTTGATCGTTTGTTGTTTGTTGTTTGTTTGCATGTTTGCATGTTGTTGGTTGTCGATTTGTTTGTTTTTGTCTGTCTGTTGCTGCTGCTGTTGTTGTTTCATGTTGTAGTCTCATTTACGTTGTTTGTGAGCAGCTGTGCCGTATTTATTTTAATGAACAGCATGCTGACCTAAGAGTGAGTTTGTTGCTTATTGCGCATAGTTACTATGTGTTGTTATTATTCGTTTGCTGTCTGTGGTGTCTCAACATTTATAATGAAGAGTCTGGTATGAATGTAAAATATAAAAATCTGTCCGGATGTACGTGAGTTGTATGAATGTGTGAGTGTGTGTGCATGTATTTGTGTGTGAGTGTGTGTGTATGTGTGTGAGTGTGTGTGTATGTGTGTTTGTGTGTGCGTGTGTCTGCAAGAAACATGTAGACATGCATAAGAACCTAATGCTGCATCATTTCCACCTCATAGCGGGCAGGTGTTGGAATTTCCTGACCAATGTGTGACGATGTGACAGTCGGACATGGTAGTGGGCAGTACATCTGAGAAGGTGTGTGGAAGATCAAATCTTTATACCTTTTTCACATTAGCTGAACTTCAATCTTCTCAATAAAAAAAATACCTAAATGAGTTTGTATTCACTTGTTAAATTTTACTATGAACTCATGATATTTTTCGTTGGCTGTACAATTATTTGAAGGTTTAAAGATTAATCCACATTTTAAAACGATGAAAAAAAAATTTTGAAACCAATTTTTTTTTACTTAAAAAATGAAACAAACGTCAGAGTTCGTGGAAAATTGAAAGATGGTTAATGTCAGCATGTGCACCGCCTTCAAATACCTCACAACAAACTTATTGACATCAGTTGAGCAGCATGATGATGATGATGATGATGATGATGATAATGATGATGAAGATGATGATGACGCTGATGATGATGATGATAATGATGATGATAATGATGATGATAATGATGATGATTGATATTACGATGTTTGTGTTGGAGCAAAGATGTTGCTTATAATAATGATTGTAATAAAAATGATTGATTGGCGATGATAATGATGATGATGATGATGATGATGACGACGACGACGACGATGATGATAATGATGGTGATGATGATGGTGACGTAGATTATCTAATAGGTGTGATGATGATAACAAAAATTAATGCGATTAAATGTGGTGATGATGTTAATGTGATGTTGGTGATGATAATGAAGGACGTCACCATCTGCGTGACGTCACAGTGATACTGAGAACGTATATGAGATAGAATTGGCGGTGTTAGCGAAAATTATGTAATCATTAATGATGACGTCACTGATCAAAAACAGTGAGGGTTCATGATTTTTTTTAATTGCAATAACAAAATTATTTGTGAAAATATTCGAATTAAGACTTTAAAATGATGTGCCGAATGGTTTGGTGATAATGATGATTATTTCAGTTAAGTAAGTACGTAGATGATTTGAATATAACTTTTGTACTGTTATTGATTATATATAAATTATTTTAGAAAATTAATTTGTTTGGTTATCCTAATACTATCACAATCAATCAATCAATCAATCAACCTGCCAACCAACCTACCAGTCAACCAGCCAGCACACCAACCAACTTATCAAACAACCAACAAATCAACCAGTCAATCAACCAACCAACCAACCAACCAATCAACCAACTAATCTATCAATCAACCAACCAATCATTCAATCAATTAACCATTAAACTCCAAATAAGTATAACTCACTTGATCGGGATAAATGGTATTCAATGAGAAGTATGTCGGCCAAGCAGATTGATTGTTTGTTTGTGGACGTGATCAAACAACATTTTTTTTTCTTTGTCATTTCTTTGACATTTGTCATCACCGTGTTTGTTTTGAAATCACCTGATTAGTTTTGTTATCGTCTTGTTTGTTGTGTTACCATCAACTTCATTATTGTCATAAAATTTGCTCGTTAACATATGATCATTTCAGTTACCAACCACTTTCCAAAATTGTTTTGCAACAAAAATTCTTAAAATGTTTAATTCTTGAAACGATTTCATATTTTGTTGTCAAATTGTAAAAGTCATTTCATTGAGATTATAACCAGCAGAAACAATACAATTGAAATAAAGAAAGTCTTCGAAGATATATCAAATTGCGTTATTAAAAAACAATTTATTTATTTTTAAATAAAATGGTGAGTAACAGTATTCAATAACATTGATAATATTAAATAAATCAATCCTAACGTGGTATAAAATAGAAAATAAAATATTCATCGGGCAATTGTTCAAGTTGTGCATCCATACCAACGCATGTGTCGTCAAAATAGTATGTTCACATGCTAACACTATCAATAAGTATGTATGTTGTTGTGTATGTGTGTATGTATGTATGTATGTATGTATGTATGTATGTATGTATGTATGTATGTATGTATGTATGTATGTATGTATGTATGTATGTATGTATGTATGTATGTATGTATGTATGTATGTATGTATGTATGTATGTATGTATGTATGTATGTATGTATGTATGTATGTATGTATGTATGTATGTATGTATGTATGTATGTATGTATGTATGTATGTATGTATGTATGTATGTATGTATGTATGTATGTATGTATGTATGTATGTATGTATGTATAAATTCAGTCATGCACATACATTTACATATCAGTTATATCGTTAATATAAATTTTCTTTAAATGTTTTCAATTATTTTGATATTTTCAATGAAACAAACAACATGAAATAGTTTTATGAATCTACCTTAATAAATAAAATTTTGAAAAATTAACCCGTATTATCAAGAAAGCATAAATATTCAGGCGAATGTGATGGTTTTAACAAGACCAGGATGCACATTGCACAGTTGAACCAATTAGTTGAACTATCACACCACATGTTATACAAAGCCACACAACCAAACATCGATATGTTCAATTGTGTGCAAACATGCAGTCATCATTTCATCATCATGATGTTTTCATTTCATCGTGATAATATATGTAAGGAAGACGTTTCATCAGTTCTTCACGTTTTATTGTTTTTTTTTGCAGAAATGCTCTGTCGGCTTTGTTGTATTCATTAGAAATTTTTATGCATTAGTGCCATGGAGAGATTACGCTACTCATGAAAGATATTCTCTCTGTCTAAGTTTGTATGTGTGTGTCAGTGTATGTGTGTGTTATGTGTGCGTGTTTTGTGTGTGTGTGGGCATGCGGGTTTAGGTTGTATCCGTGTGCATTAATTTTTGCATGATATTACATAACAAAAACGTAAAAAATGGGTTAAAACTTAAACGTTTCTCTACCCATCCAGCAAGACCATGTGGAATGTGGATGCATTATTGTGATTTCCAACGTTCAAACAACGGAATACTAATTAAACAGACTTGAAGCAGAAATTTTTAGCAAAAATTTTGCCATAGATTTTTCAAAAAAGATTTTTTGTTAGACTAAACATCCTTTATATAAAATATTGATTGGAAAATACACACAATCCCTTCCACCATGAGTCTGGCGAAATGACATACAAGACAATGAAAATAACAACATTAAGTAATACACATTGGATAAATGGTAAATAGCACTCCATGATTCTATTTGTATCGGTGATGTGATTTACTCTGCTCTCTGCTGAACTGATTACTAGTATATCCAATGTTGGTTGGGAATGCATTTCGAAATATTCATCGCCTTAAATGATTTCGAATGAAAATTTACGTTTTGTTAATAACAATCGTAACGATAATTCTATAGAGAGTTTTTATATACAGTTAAATAAAATGTTAAGAAATTAATCAGTAAACAGTTGAAGAAAAAAATAATTTTTTAGTAAAAAGAATAAATTTTTTAGTGAAATGAAAGCAAAAGAACTGATAGTTTTCCAGCAAAAACATCATGAAACATTATAAAAACAATACCGGAATAATAAATGAACGAACTAACGACGAAATATTCTTTGGATGTTGCTCAGGGACAAAAATAAACGTTAAAAACAGAAGTGTAAAAAATTGTTCTCATCTTAAAAAGTTAATTTATGTCTTGTTGACGGGAGCGGTTATAGCAAATGTGAGCCTTTTTAACAGTAATTAACATCATAACTTGTCTGCATTGAATAATTTGTATGTTTACACTCTTATATGTGTTTGCGCGTGTGTTTGTATGTGTGTGTGTGTGTGTGTGTGTGTGTGTGTGTGTGTGTGTGTGTGTGTGTGTGTGTGGGTGAGTGTGTGTTTACACTCTTATATGTGTATGCGCGTGTGTTTGTATGTGTGTGTGTGTGTGTGTGTGTGTGTGTGTGTGTGTGTGTGTGTGTGTGTGTGTGTGTGTGTGTGTGTGTGTGTGGGTGAGTGTGTGTTTGCAAAGAATTCTGTTGCAATGAAATGGGATGACGTTTTTGGTGTTGAAACATCTGAAATGTTCAGAATTATTTTCACCTTCTGAATTATACATGAGGAAATTGGAAATTTTGAAATTTCAACGCTGAAATCGAATTGGTAACTTTAAAAATGTGGAGTTGTTTTAAGTATGGATAGAAGTCTTGCGATTTGAAGATTGTCGATGCCTCAGTCAAATCAAAGTGCAGTTTAATTAATTAATTGTCTTTGTTCTTCTTCGTCTGTTTGTTCGTCTGTTTGTTTTGAGATTGTTGCTACGTTGTGCTGTTTGTTTCTTATTTGTTTGTTGTTTTGATGTTAATTGATATGTTCATTCTTTTTATTGTTTTTTGTTCTTTCGATATTTGCTACCCTTACTTAATGAGGCAACATTTGTTGACTAACTGTTTTTTTGTATCAAATTGCACAACTTTTTATATTGTTGTCAAGAATTTTTTTATTGATTTAAAAAAAAATTCGTGCAATAAATTTTTATTTGAGTCATATACAAATTAAAATAATTTAAATTAAAAATATTAAAAAGCACATTTAAAAACAAAAAAGAGTAAACTGTTTAATAAAATTCGTTTCTTATATTCAGCGTTGAATATCAACAAAGTATCAATGAAGAAAAACTATTTGAAAAATAGAAAAAGCTGTAAAATTTTGATAATTCCGTTAATTTCACATCAAAAGAATTAACTAATATTAAATAGATAATAATAGATGGCTGATTTATCTGTCGTTGAGTTAAAATTTGATTTTTGTTAACCGCTTGGTTGGATATGCCTCAGATTTGAAGAAACCATCATTCAGATGGATCCATTAAAAATATAATAAAAAACTATCTACTAAATGATTATTATATTATACACAAAAAATGTTTTTATTGAAAGTTTTTTTAAAAAATGGAAAATATTTTGCAGCATTTAAAATTAAATTGTCCAGTAACAAATTGCTAACTTTTAAAAATTATTGAAAAACACTAGAGGAAAAATTAATAGTTTTTTAAAGATTTTGTCATATAATTTGCCGCAAGTTATTTCCAAAAAAATAAATTTTTGGAACAATCAAAAATTTTATTTTTAACAATCCTCATATCACATATAAAAAAACGTTTATGACGACTCATAAAAAACAAAATTATAATGGTGTTTCGTGTCATCATTAGACAATGGACATGGCCACATATTTCAAAATCTTTTACTGTCAATTTTTCTTTAAATAAAAAGCTGCACATTACCATCAGTAATAAATACTGCCTTAAAGTGACCCTGAAGGTTTAAAACAGGAAAAACCATGTTATTTATGACTGAGGAGAGATATGGTAAGAACTTGTTTGAGTGTTATTTGAATGTTTAAAATTAGTAAACATTTAATACAATTTAATATAAAGTATATTAAGTACAGGATTTGAAATGTGAAATATCTGAAAAAATATGGAAGCTACAATATGAAATCATAAATAAAATGTGTTCACTGTGGAAATTTCTTTTAATATATTGTTAGTTCTCAAAAATTGACACATATTCTTTTATTTTTGATATATAAAACTCTGATTTGCTTTCTCAAAATATATATTTACTACATAATTTATAGCGAACAAAAAATTTCAGAGAATCAATTAACTTTAATTTGTAAATTGTTTTCAATTAGAACTCTTAGAATTTTTAAAATGAACTATTCAATATTAAAATTGACTTTCTGAAATAATTGATGAAAATTTTATTTTCAAAGAGCGTTTGACAAAAAGTTCATTCATCTGTGATGATAGAATGATACGTACATAGACTCTTCTGAAGCATCATTCCATCACACCTACTCATCGCCAGTCTGATAATCTCTGTCATTCTATTCAACTGCACGCTACGCACACAAATTTAAAGTTACTGACTTTATTTCTAAATGTCTCACTGATAAAAATGAAAGATTCATCAAATAATCTAATGTGCAATTAATTTTTAATTTCCATTTCAATAATTTTATTATTTCTTTTAACATTTTAAACCGTTAGTTCTAAAATAAGATTTAAAGTTATCATTCTCGAATTTTTCATGTTGAAAATAAATTCAGATCGCTCTAACCTATTTTTAAAAAGTTAGTTTTTTGTTAGTAAATCTAATGCAATCATTCATTTGGGAACAATTTTTTGAACGCGAGCAAATGTACGGTGAAGCTTTAAAAACACACCACGCAGTAAGGTTTGAACAAATCCTGCGTTAAAAAATTTTACAAAAATATTCAAAAATTTCGTTGTTTGACGTGACCGAGTTTCTGATATCACATGTTTGTTTGTTTCTCATGTGAAGTTATTTTGATAAAAAATTGGATGCAAATTATGGTTTAACATTTGATTGCAGATTTCATTGGCGTTGCTGCGTGCAGTGCATGTTTCTCTTATTTTTTTGACAGCATCAATCAAACCATTGAATAAATTTATCTCGTAAAAATGTAGGCACCAAAACATCTGAAGTGGTTTTAAGGGTATTCTATACATTTCAATATTATTGTTGAAAAAAATTGTTTGATAGAAATATATCTAACAATTCAAACAAATTTCATTTTATTTCATTTTCTTTTATTTGCTGGAAAACAAGCAGGAAGACCTTAAAAAGCTATAATTGGCTTTTCAGGTACTGCTATCATGAGTAATTGAAGCAAAATGTAAAATGACTTAACATAAACAAAAATAACAAAAACAAAAATAAACAAACAGACAAATCTATTGAAGAATACAATGGGGTTATTGAAATAAATGTTTAGTGACGTTAGGAGAGTTTGAAATGAATTTATTGGGCCGTCTAATAAACAAAGTTTGCCCTGCACAGCGTAGAAAAAAATATTAAGAATGTCTGAACATCTATAAAAGTAGAAACTAATGAAATTTTAATGCATTCTTCTTTTATTCATTGAAAAACTTGCTGTCTGATTTGCACTGTTTAGAAACTGAATCACACATCATGCATGTAATTCCCAATTAAGGAAACAGTGCCGCGGTTAACGGTTTAAAGTTTTTATTAACCATCAACTTCCTTCCGGCGCTGGTGATCGATTGATGAAATTTCCTTCCAACAAATTAGTTCAACTATTTCCATGCACTACGACGCATACGTTTTGAAGCATTCCCTCTGCTGAATCGTTTCAATTTAAGACTATGATTTGTATATGAAGAAAAACTGCATTCGTTGTTTTTTCTTAATTTTAAATATAATGATACATTTCGAAATTATAAAATATATATGTATATGTAGGCACGGTTCAGGGTGAGTCGATGCAACAAAGTGCATAAATAACAAGAGATCTGACTATTTAATTAAATTACTAGCAGACAGACAGACAAGCAAGCGTTTATTCTTCCTTCATTTGATTAATAACAGACAAACGGATTTTCATCTGATTGTTTATCTGATTGTTCATCTGATTGTTTATCTGATTGTTCATCTGGATTGTTCACCTGATTGTTCATCTGGATTGTTCACCTGATTGTTCACCTGTTGTTTTCTTACAAAATTACATAGATCAC